CTGAACTTGCTCACTGGTTCACAGTTCACTTCTGTATGCACCTCTTGCACACGTGTAAACACAACCGTGTTTGTCTTGCATCTTGTAACTTATCTGTTGAGGATGTACTACGAAACCTGTTACACTCACTAGGTCTATATGCATTACTAGACATCATGGAGTCTTCTCGATATCCACCTCTCTGAGGCCTACTCGTCATCAATGAGTGCGTTTTACCCTCAGACTGCTCTATTCTAGGGGTGAGATCTAACAGACTGGCGAACTTGCTCATAGATTGATTGACACTAGTATTTACCAGTTTCAGGATATCATCAAACTTTGGCTCGATACCCTCATCCTCCATACGGGAGCTTATCTTCACCCACTTCCTTTGCAGTCGGGTAGGTAGACGTCTTGCTATTACTTCTAGTATAAAACTCGAGTTGAGGTCACTCATTCGATTCATCGAAATCATTCCATTCTTGTAAATTAGCAAATTATCTAAAAACTCAGTGAGTGCCTGGGAGTCATCCTGTAACTGACCACCATTACCCTCAACAGCCTCGAATAATTTCCCTGCAATCATCGAGGGTCTTCCAAACCTTTGACGTAATATGCTCATAGCCTCATCGTAGCCCTCCTTTGGCTTCATAAACTTACAACACTGTATAGCTCTTGCAGCATCTCCAGTGCAATATCTCATCAAATACATTAACTTCAATTCATCATTTAATAGAAAACCACTCAACATGATCTCAAACTCCTTTACAAATTGTAAATAATCAGCCGGGTTTCCATCAAAACACCGTGGTTCAAATTTAGGGAGTTTGATGTTCCTATTATCCCTGAACGGCGAAACAGTAACATCAACCATGTCATGCTTAACATCAGACACATCGTTACAATTAACAGACAAGTCACCATGACTTACTTTCCTGTTTGCATCCAAGACACTCTGTCCCTTCTTTGACCCAGGCATTGTTGAACTTGACCCAATTCCAAAAATGTTCCAGATATTGCTTGTTCAAAGAGGACTTGACCGGCACCAGGAAAAATGAACGGCGACTATCCAAACTTTCACCAACTGTTTCAATCCGCCAGATCTGTTTCTATCGTCAGAAACTGTCAGTCTCGTCTCATAAACCGTTAATGCCCAGCTCCTGCTACGCTCGGGCCCACGCTGTTCCTTTGAGTTTCAGAAACGCTTAGTATTAACGGACGCAAAAACCAAAACACCGATCTGCTGCTTGTTATTTCTTTATTGTTACACCAACATATATAAGGAATTAACGAACTAATGTTTCTGACGATGTTTCACTCTTCTTTCTGAACAGCGACCGATGAGACGATGACTGTCGTATTGATGCCTCCGCGGGGAAGTTGGGTTTGAGCAAACAACCAAGAATTGATCGTTCGATCTTCAACTCCATTGACACCATGAATTGATCGTTCAATCTTCAACCACATTGACAAACGCTTATGCGTTAGGTATGCAAATCAAGGTAAACTTTTTTATGATGCATTCATCATTTAAAAGACTAACTAGTATGTAAGAGTTACGATTTGACCAGTTATACAGTGTTTAGAATATTTAGACACAATTAACCTATGCTGCTTACTTCTATGACGCATAACCTAAAGCTACGTAGTTACTTAAAGTGGTTTCCGCTAAGGGTAAATCCCAATAGATAATTATTTAGAAGGTTGTCTAACTGCAAGATTACCACGACTGCTGTCTTTTATCATTAGCTCCAGTTTAGCATTAACATCTGTCGACAGGTGGGCTACACGCTGATCAATTACACTGACGGTCTCACAATTATCCATACCTTCTGCAACTGCATCTGCCTTTAGGTGTACTTCACGTTCAAGCTGTACAAAACCTTTGTTCAACTCAGCGGTAGTAGGCATATCCCTCATCTCATCATGATCAACCAAAGACAAAAGTGCACTATCATGATCATTATCACAAATATTCACTTTACCGTTGTCTATGTGGTCGACTTCACTTTCAAACTCTTTAATAACAGCAGTAGATGATTTGTGTTCTTCTTCATAAATCCTTAGAGGTTTTATACCTTTACTCTGACTAGTAATACCTTGTAAACTTGTGCAGTCAGAACTACACTCTGAAACTGTAACTCTCTTCTTCTGCAGTTCCAACTACAGGCTTCTTCACTGCACCATTATCGTCTCACCATTGGTAGTCAGAACTTGATGACGCCGATTTCACATTCGGCCTACCAGTAAACTCTCTCACTGATTCACAGTTCATCTTTGTATGCACCTCTTGCAAACGTGTAAAACACAACTGTGTCTGACTCGCAACTTGTAACCTATCCGTTGGGGATGTCCAACGAAGGCTGTTACACACACTAAGTTTATATGGATTACTAGACAACATTGAGCTTTCTCGATATCCACCTCTCTGAGACCCTTTCGTCGTAAATGACTGCGGTTTGTTCTCAGACTGCTCTATTCTAGGGGTGGGATGCAGTATACTGGCAAACTTGCCCATAGATTCATTGACACTATCTTTTACCATTTTCAGAATACCATCAAACTCTGGCTCAATACCTTCATCCTCTATACGAGAGCTTATCTTCACCCACTTCCTTTGCAGTCGAGTACGTAGACGTCTCGCTATTACCTTTAGGACGGAACTTGAGTTCAGATCACTCATGCAATTCATCGAAATCAACGTATTCTTGTAAGTCATCAGATTACTCAGAAACTCAGAGAGTGTCTCGGAGTCATCTCGTAATTGACTACCATTACCTTTAACAGCCTCGAATACGTTCCTTACAATCATCGGGGGTCTTCCGAATCTTTGACGCAGTATACTCATAGCCTCAGAGTATCCCTCAGTAGGGGGCATGAGCTTACAGCACTGTATAGCTCTTAAAGCAACTCCACTGCAATACCTCATCAAATACATCAACTTCATTCCATCATTTGATGAAAAACTACTCAACATGATTTCAAACTCCTTTACAAACTCTTTATAGTCAGCTGGGTTTCCGTCGAAACACCGAGGTTCAAATTTAGGCCTATTATCCCTGGACTGAGAAACATGAACAACAGACTCCTCATGCTGAGCATCATACATATCATTACAATTAACAAGCAACTCAGCATTACTTGCTTTCCTGCCTGCTTCCAAGACGCTTTGCCCCTTCTTTGAACCGAGCATCGTTGAACTTGACCGAAATTTTAGGAAAGTTTCAGATAGCACTTGTCCAAAGAAGACCTGCAGGCACCAGGAAATACTATCGGAAAGTATCCAAAACTATCAGAAACTGTCAACCAATTCTCATAAACTGTTAATGTCCAGCTCTTACTACGCTGGATCTCACGCTGTACATCGAAGACTTTCAGAAACACTTTGTATTAACCAACGCGAAAACCAGAACGCTGATTGGCGACTCGAGAATCCTTTATTCTTACGCCAACATGTAGCCAACCATAAGGTTATTACGCAAGGTCTAAGAACAAATGTTATAACAGTAAATATTGGTAATACTTCTGATAGTTTTTATTCTTCCTCTGAACAGTGAACGATTAGACCTTGTCTGCCGGATTAGTGACTCCGCGAATATATCTAGTTGTTTTTATGCAAACAACCATGAATTGAGCGTTCCGTCTTGTACTTCATCTTAGTAGTATATTCTGGACACGTCGCCTTCATCTTCATTTATATTTTAAATCCGATGATGGGTCATCTTAACCTACTTGTAGGAGTGTGTTCATCAATGAACACCCTAAATAGAGAAGAATGGAACTACATATCATGATGAACTCGTGTTTCCTACCTGAATACCCGTCTTCTGCTTATGTATCCTTTAATCACTGGCTGCATCTCAGTGAACATAGCTTTCAGCGTATATCCTCTTATAGAGATTCTACAGTACTTCATCAAGATCTATTCGTGTTCGAGGGAATGAGGTGGAGGTTTTCATATGCAGTTCAGCGTGTCCAAGATTTGATTATACCCTCAATCTACATACCAGAAGGTGCGTGCGTCGGTTGCACAGTGGTTAGGACTCTCGCCGACCATGCACATGGTCCGGGGTTCGAGCCCACGCCGGCGCACACCTGATATCTATGGTCGGCCTGCGAAATTTGGGCTACCGATATCCATGCTGAAAATTCCATACCTGTACCAAAAATACGGTGTGGAATCAAGCTGTAATCAAATAAATAAAAATTTTGGGAAAAGGCTTTTGAACTTATCGGGGTAATACGGCTGGCATAAGAAACTAAGTGTCCGATAGAACCAAGATAATTTTTTTGTTTTTGATTACAGCTTGATTCAACACCGTATTTCTGGTACAGGTATGGAATTTTCAGTATGTGATATCGGTAGCCCAAATTTTGTAGGCCGACCACAGATATCAAGTGTGGGTCGGCAGGGGATCGAACTCCGGACCATGTGCATGGTCGGCGGGATTCCTAACCACTGTGCCACCGACAAGCAAAATGACAACATAGCCCGGTTGGATTAGACGGAGCTCAAAATACTTTGAGCGGCTAGAGGTTATCCGGAACTTCATTTAATCAGAAATAAGTGGATAATCAGTTAGCTTATGTAGGGCTGCATTTTAGTACGAGATAGGGATATCATAGCACACGCCACAATTCATAGCACTGTGTGTGAAGGAGAGCCAAGCCTACTAGCTTTATGTCGAAATCGGCAGTTTTTTGTCCAGTGCATAATCTGTTGTTACTATATAATACACCCTTTAACAGGTTGAGGCTTTATCCGAAAGATTTGTGTCGGTGCCACAGTGGTTAGGACTCTCGCCGACGATGCACATGGTCCGAGGTCCGATCCCGTGCCGACGAACACCTGATATCTATGGTTGGCCTGCAAAATTTGGGCTACCGATATCACATGCTGAAAATTCCATACTTGTACCAAAAATACATTTTGGAATCAAGCTGTACTTTGATAATCAGAGTTCCGACATAACATTCTTAACATTTCGCAACCATGATTTACGACATACGTGTGTACCTACAATCATAAAAGGGTTGTAGCTGAATAGAAATGTGTTGATCTTACTTTTTCGGGAAGCAAACTTTGACTTTTGTTTATATAGCTCAATAACCTTGAATTGGATTCGTACCAACTATTTTGTTTCCAAACCATCACTTCCAAGCATGGGTGTTAGTAGCTATGTAAGTTCAGACTTTACTCATAGCATCAGTTGACTTTATGCAAAATTTATGGCAGAATTTATGTTAGTTTGGTCAAGCTTTTTACTTAATTTGATGCAGATGAAGTGATATTTTCACATACAGTTAAATTATAATTTATAATATATCTGAGAAAAATGTGTCAGATGTTGATAGAAACTGAGGAGTTCGTATGCATGATCACCTGTTCTATTAATGAAATACATTAGAGCTTATGTCAGCCCTTCTCGTTGGTTGTTTTAATCGGCTAAGTTATAATGCAACCATGAAATATGTGAGGAAATTTTTATCACGTAAAATTATTCAGATGGCTAACGATACAAAGCATATTAATAGACTATCCGGACGCATAAAATCGTTGGTAGACTCCGATTTAGTCGCATCCATTCTTATTAGATTGGAGAGCTCAGAGACGTTCGTGGTTATGCTGGCCTGTTAAGATGCATTACTGCTAGTTTTCATATTTTCAAGCACTAGTTTTGGATTTTCTTGAATGAGATTTCTTTAGAAAGTCATTTACTCAACTAAAATGTGATATGCCTGGTCTGGTTTGGGTGAATAAAAACCATATATGTATGTATATATGAATTATACTTCTTCAGCCCTACAATTTTTAAACACTGCTGCTCCCGAGTCAGCTTTCTCTGTACGACTCAGTTCTAGGAGTTAAAATGACAAATAGTTTGGAACTAAGGTATAAAACTAATAATCTTCTGGCTTAAAATTATTGGTTTTCGAATAATTGCACGGATGTACACCTGATGTATATCGACAAAGCGCTATTAAACCTGGTGACATACCGGAGTATATTTTCTTGTTTTTCATGACTTAAGGGTTGAGGCAGTTTGTACTTTGACCTCTTTGAGTCATTATGTGTACAGAAAACACTACTCATGTAGTATTTGTTTGTTTTGTTAATTAAGAACGTTTAAGGAAAAAGACTAGTCTGTTTCTCAAAAAATTTCAACTTTTTAATCTTATTAGAATCGGTTGAATTCAAAGTGGTTTGACTACTAATTAAGGTTGGTTAGGCAGGAATTAAAGTCCGATGAAAATTTCATGTTATTTTCTGCACTGGAAACTCCTAACTCCATAGTCTTTCTGGCTACTGACTTCACCAAAGTCTTTTTCTTACTTTTATGCTCACTTCTTGCAATTGCTGCCACTTGAAATGATTTACTTTTATGCTGAGTTCTGTGTTTGTAAGTCAGTGATTCGCTTACTGTGCGTGTATTTTTATCGCCGTTATACAAACAGCAGTAATCACTTTCTGATGTTTATGACAGCATTACAGTCCTTAGATATGGAGGAACTCAAGATATAATTTCGTGTTGAATTAGGTATCAACAAAATTGGCTAAGAATTCATTAAGGTTATCTCATTATAAGGAGGTAGTTCTTCATTGTTATCCTTCAGAAACCTAATGTACTCGTAGTAGAGATTTCAAAAAGATTAAACAATTGTTATTCAATTCGAAATAATGGGGGGATTCATTTTGCTAAATTTGTGGGTTTACTGTGTTTTTCACTTCGTGAAGTGGCGTTTAAAACTAGTGAATGTGTTTTTTGCTTAAAAGTATCAAAGGCTAAATAGATCGGTCGGCAGATTACTAGTTTCTACATAAATCGAACTGAATTTTACAATTCTATCTGTAAAACTAGTGTTTCTACTTACCCGGGACCGCAAGTCTAAAATATGTGTACTAAATAAAAGTATTTTTCGATAAATCGAAAATAAGTATGTAGAACTGTTTATCCGTCTTACACATCAAGTTGCTCGATAAAGCTAAAATATCTGTTTTTCACACGAAGTATTTCAAGGTGATAATTTTAAATATTCTAATTTGCATGTTGTACTACTTCTCAATGGGGTCAAACTAACTAACATTACGTTCACGTCAGGAAGTAATGGAATATTCTGTTGTTAAAATCTCACAATGTTGCTCGTGAATAGCACCATGTATGAATGCACTAGTCAAGTGGATATGCTGAAAACAATTTGCATCGAGTGGCACCTTTATCATTCTCCAAAGAATCATGGGGAGCATTGCGGGGTGTAAATACAACATAAAATTGGTTGGGTTAGATGAGAATAAATTATTTTTAGTTTTAGCTGACAAAAAGTACACCAATGATGCTAGTTATCAGATGAACTTCTTCTGTTAACAAACTAGTTGTTTGATATATGAGGTAATTACGTAAGTGATGCGAATTAAGTCGCTTTGGTCTCTTAAAACTACCTTTTCTATTTAGTCAAACCAAAGTTAACAATCATGAAGTCTTGTATGACCGATTACTCCTTTATTCCTTTTATTAGACAGAAATCCGTAACACATTGCTTTAACCAGTGTTTCACAAGTTTGAGTAACATTTTCTAGAGTATGAGGGGATTTCACTAGCTTCTGACCAGTAGATTTAGCTCACATCGTGGTTTACGATCCTACATGTGGTCGATTAGCAAGGTTATCCCTGTTCCACTGTACTACTCTTACTGCTACTAATACTTTGAATCTAGATGCTATTATTTGATAGCTGTTTCATGATAACAAACTGCCTCTTTTCTTTAGAAGCAGTGTTGGTCACAGCTAAACTCTTATGTCGCTTGCTTGTCTGGAGTCTCAAAGGTACTGAAAAAATTGGTTAGAGGTGTTTGATGATACAGTTCATAATTATTCATACCCATGAAATTATTTCTCCTGCCATCTTTTTGAAGTATTGGGCGTTTTCACTGATCTTCATTTGACTATCTTTGTTGCTCATACAACTGCTCGTTGATCGTAGTAACACTTAATTTGTCCCATTTATTTTAGTACTCTTTCAGAGGGTAACATATTCCAGTGATACATTTTTATGGAAGGTTGACTTGTGGGTTAGTCTGAGAAATTGCATGTTTTCAACGTATCTCTTGTTTCACTTCAAAGTCGTTTAAAGAAACCTTGGAAATAAGTAAATGTGTTCAATAGTACACAATCATAACCCCATACGAAATCTTTAGTAATGTTTTGGTCCATTTATAGAAAAAGAAATCGATTTTTAAACGCAGTATATGTTCATTACGATTACTAAAACGTGTACATGTTTTATTTTGCAGTTAAAAGGAATATACCGTAAAGTTTCTGGTAAAAAGAAACCCGAGAAAGATGAAAAGCAAAGTGGCTTGGATGATCTCAAACAGGAGCTGGATATGGATGAGCACAAAATATCTCTTGAGGAGTTGTATTCTCGATTATCTACCGATCCTGAAAATGGTCTGAAAAGTGAAGATGTCAAGTTAGCTTCCAATATTTTCGGAAGAAATACGTATCATTTAATTTTAATTTTAGGGTTCGATTAGAGCGTGATGGACCGAATGCATTAACACCACCAAAAACAACTCCAGAATGGGTAAAATTCTGCAAAACACTCTTTGGTGGATTTTCAATGCTTCTTTGGATTGGTGCTATTCTTTGCTTTATCGCGTATGGAATTCAAAGAAGTTCGGGTGATGACGATACAAAGGATAATGTGAGTTGCTGTATTTAACTCTTTTGTTTTTATGTAAACTGGACAGTTGATCAGATCATCAAGGACTAATAAATCAACTATTATTAGGGATAATATTAAAACGTTAGTGAAATTTAGTAAAACAAAAAGTACAAAGGAGTTTAAGTACACTTTTAATTTCGTAAGTTTTGGGCACATAAGAGTTTATGATCAAACATGACCTTTGAAAGTCTTTATGACTGAGTTTATCCTGCTATGGTTGTGTGGCGTTTGTTAGAAATGGAATTCAATTCAATTCTCTATCCTATTCTGTTATATTTTCAAAAGGAGCCATTGTACAGAAAGTAGTCAACCAGTTTTATCCAGAAATTAACGGATTGGATGCAGAAGATATTTACACTTAAATTATCTCACTTTACAACTTCTAACCGAAATAAATTTCTACAGAGATCCGTTGGTGATGGAAAATAATCAAAAGTAACCTCAAACTTTATTAGAGATTGAAAAGCTTGTTGACATAAGTATGAGAGATATTACATCTGAGGTGTTTAAACTGTATATTAGAATATTTGATGGATGTTGAATCGTATGAAAGAGAACTGCAGGAATGGAAGTTAAGAACGAAAAGAGGTATTAGGCTTAATATGTGGAGGTTGCCTCATTTACTTAAAAATATAAACTAGGAAAGTGAAATAATTGCGAAATCAGGCAAGTACAGATACTGTTGAAGAAACATTGTCTAGAATACAAATGCAACTACAGAGCTACTAATAAATTTTATGTTTTCGAAAACAAATATTGGATAGAGTCACAAATTGTTGAGCACTCAATCATACATAGGTAAGGCGATTGTATTCACCTGTTACAGTATTCATGAAATCAATGGGCCAGTTTGATATTGTTAGAAGGAGGGAAATATTCCCATAAGATAAAATGTTAGACAGTGGAGCTGTTTATTTTTCCCTTTCTCATCTACCTTTTTAAGTAAGAAATTATTTTGAAATAATTGTCAATTCACTGCAGGGTATAGCTGCTATTCATGGAGGCGTTCGACAGGCATTCTGATCTTAACATAATGGTAGTTTATTTATGTACTGTAAAATATGGTTCTCGGCCTAGCTTACACATCAAATACTATTCACAGAAGCGTGGAAATTTAAATTTTGAAAAAGACTTCTAAATCCATGCTTATTTACGAAGTTTCTTTGAATCATGTTGTGCTTCTTCTGGTGCTTATTTGAAATGACGGGTATAAATGGGTACTCACTTTATAATGAGGAACCACATGAAAAAGTTTATTCAATGTTTACTTTTTATCTGCTAAATCCATGAATATAAAAAAGTACAAAGCTTTGTTTTCTTATAAATGAAATTGTTCCGTGCGTTAACAATGAAGCTAATATTTCCAGGAGTATTTATTTATTTACTTTTTTCATGCTTCGAAGATTCTGTAGCGATTGGGTTGATTTTCTAGGGTAGGGTAGGTAGCCCGACTTCTAACTTCCCCTTCGCTCCCTGAAGAGAGACTTTGCGACCCCCAGTATGCAGACGATATTGTCTTACTGTGCGATTGCATGCAGGCTGTCCAAATCGCACTTAATCAGTTGGCGGTCAGTGTCCGTAAGTATGGTATAGGCTTTGTGCCGTCTAAGTGCAAAGTACTGTTACAAGATTGACAGGAGCCTGTACTTGCACTCACTCTTGCAGGTAAATCGCCTGAATTTCTCGATAAGTTTGTATATCTGGGTAGTAGTGTGAGTGCTGGTAGAGGGGTGACGGATGAGATTTCCAACCGTATCATGAAAGCTACGCTGGTATACGTTAACTTGAGCCACCTCTGGCGCCGTCGCAACGTTAGCCTGGCTGTTGAAGGTCAAGTATACAATGCTTCGGTGTGGGCTGTATTGCTTTACGCCTGTGAAACCTGGCCTCTCCGAGCTGAGGATGTACGAAGACTCTGTATATTCGATCATCACCGTCTCCGCAGTATTGCTTGTGTTCGATGGCATCATCTCGTGATTAATTCTGAGGTCCGGCGGTGAGTGTTTGGGCACAGTGAAGATCACCATTCGTTGAATGTTAACATCTGGAAACACCGGCTTTGGCGGCTGGGGCATGTGCTGTAAATGTCATCCTAGAGGCTTCTGTGCAGTTCTCTGTTCACTAGCCCTGGGACAGGATGGAAAAGGCGGAGAAGTGGCGTCGTGGGATGAAGGATATTTGTACTAGGTTAACATCGGTTGATGCGTCACGACTCCCTGGTTGGAGTCCGAGAGATAGCTTGAGTCGGTGGCTCGAAACGTTATCGGATATGGCCAAGAATCATAATCAATAGTGAACGTGCTACAATTTCCTTCTTTCTTCCCTTTCCGACGATGATTGACGAATGCTGTTATTATTATTGCTTCCTTGGGTTCCTAGTGGAACATAGGGCTTCAACTGCACGTCTCCACATGCTTCTGTCTTCTGCTGTACTTTTCACCTGCATCCATGTTAGTCCATACTCTTTCAACTCCTCTTCACATAATCTTCTCCATGTCACCCTTGGACGTCCCACTCGCCTCTTCCCTTTCGGGTTCCACTCGAGGGCCTGATGCGCGATGTCACCAACCGGCCTCCTCAACGAGTGTCCAATCCATCTCCACTTTCTCCTGCATATTTGTTGGTTGACGATTGGTTTTTGTTTTGTGTGTTCCCATAGTTTCTTGTTGGTGATTCTTTCCGGCCCGGCCATCTGATCTTCAATAAAGAGCGAAGACAGTTGTTGATGAATGTCTGCAACCTGTTGGGAATATTCTTTGTGACCCGCCAAGTTTCTGATCGGTATAGAAGAGCTGACTGACTTGATGTTGTTTGTATTGAAAATCCGACTGAATTTTGTTGCTGATGCTGAGTGACTGAGATTTCCAGATTGGTTTCAGGTTGATGAATGTGTCTCTCGCCTTCCAGATTTTCGCTCGATTTGACATCCTCGTCCGTTCCTCCTGTAGTTGAGACAATGCTCCCTAGATAAGTGAATGAAGTGACCTCTTTCAAATCCCTCCCGTTGATGGTGACTGACGCTGGATGTTGCTGCTGTTGTTGGTTGGTTGGTTATTATCATAACCTCCGTCTTGTCTATGTTCACTTGGAGTCCTGTCTTTGCTGTCTGCTTCTTTAACCAGTTTGTCGGTTTTCGCTTGTAAGCCTTCGATTTTGTGTGACATCAAGCATAAATCATCCGTAAAATCCAGGTCTTCTAGGTTCTTTACGTCGGTACAGGATATCCCTGTCTTCTTGTTTCCCACTCGCTGTCTGACGCATAATCCAGTCCACCACAATTAGGAATATCATTGGTGATAATAAGCCAGCACCCTTGTCTGACTCCTGTATTTACTCCAAACGCCTCGCTGAGTTTTCCGTTGTGGATCACTTGGCAGGTGCCCTTGTCGTACAGCTGTTGAATAAGGTTGATGAATATTTGGGGTACGCCATAGTACTCAAGTAATTTCCAAATTACTTCGCGGTCAACGCTGTCGAAGGCCTTCTCAAAGTCTTTAAAGTTGAGGTAGAGGTTTGATTGCCATTCCATGCTTTGTTCTGTGATGATGATGCGTAGAGTTGCAATTTGGTCAGTACACGATTTGCCTTTCCTGAATCCAGCTTGTTCTGGTCGGAGTTCTGTCTCCAGTGCGTCCTTTAATCTCTCCAGGATGATGCGACTCAGGGTTTTACTTGGCGTCGATAGGAGCATGATTCCTCGTCAGTTCTTGCAGAGTGAGACCGAAGTCGCCCTTCTTTGGTAGTTTCACGAGGTGACCTTTCTTCCAGTCAGCAGGCACCTTTCCCTCCTTCCGGACCTTTTGCAATAATGGAGTCAGCATGTCTGCTGTAGTCTCTGGGTCTGCTTTCAGTGCTTCAGGGGTATTCCATCTGGTCCAGCTGCTTTTCCAGCTTTCAGAAGCTTGATTGCATTCAAGACTTCAGCTTTCGTTGGAGGATTGGTGTCAACTTGCAGTTGTGTGCGCGCTGTTGTTGGTATTTCTGGACGGGTTGCAGGTGGTGGTCGGTTCTAGAGTCCTCTGAAGTGATCCACCCATTGTTTAATCTGTTTTTCTTCCTTGGTAATTGGGTTCCCTTTGATAGGATCCCACATATTTTGGTATTGACTGTTTAAACTTGCATAGATGGTATGTTATCATTCTCACGCATTTTGGTATTGACTGCTAATTTTGTATATTATCATTCTCACGCATTTTGGTAGTGACTGCTAATTTTGTATATATGGTATATTACCATTCCCACACATTTTGTTACTGACTGTCAATGTCGCACATATGGCATATTAGCATTTCTCACACACTTTGTTATTGGCTATTAAGGTCAATTATTTCAAATGCTGTTAGCTGTCCATATTGTTGTAAAATGTATAAATACCATGGCTTTCTTTATCGTTGTTGCACTTCAATACACAGTCACAGTCCAGCCTTTGTCTTTTGATATTTGCGTGCTTTGCTAAGTCGGAAGGTACGACAAGGAGATATAACATATAAGTTCAGGCGCAGACAGAGAAAGATATAACAATTGGCGACGGGGTTTTACTTTAATTCAGTGCAGTTATAACACCCTTGTCTGTCTTTTATAGGTTTCACTTGTGTTGATCACTTCTCCGAAAGAGACTTGGTTATCTGATATAGTGTCCTCAGGTCCCTTTTGCCTGCTGCCTTTTCAGCTTCAGTGGCCAGGTTGTCGTAGAATTGTCTTTTGTCCTTTCTAGCACTCTTCTTCACTTCTTTGTCCAGTGCTGTGTATGTTGAGCTCAGCGTCTTTTTCTCTTGCCCGTCTTTGCATTGAATCATTTTCTCTTTCACCATTCTCCTCTCCTCTATTAGCTTCCAAGTGTCCGTTGAGAGCCATTCCTTGCCTTGTCTCTTCTTTCTTCCTAGAACCGTTGAACGCGTTTCGTTGAAAATCGCCTTCAGAGAGTTCCAGTGGTCTTCCACGCATGATTCTTCAGTGATGTCACGTAGTGTTTCCTGCTT